AGCAAAATGCCTTTGTGCGCCATAGTCTGGCACCCATGCCCGGGGTTGCCTACCCCTGCTCTACCAAAGCAAATAAAGGTCCAATCCTTTTTCCACGTCTACATAATACATTATCAGTCTGTAGTCTAGAAACAATAAACATCTAGAAAGGCCTTTTCTGGAAAGGATGTTCAGGGACAACAGGCAAAAGTTGCATTTTATACTGGATATTTAAACAGCTTAAAATCCACAAAAAACCCCCAACATATTGCTAATATAGGGTTCTATAGAATGGCTCTATAGAACTGCTCCGTCTTTCATCACTGGATATAACTGACAATGTTTCCAGTTTTACATATACAGGCCAAATTCTAGCTTTTCTTTTACCCAGAATGTATTAACCTCTAATTTTAGGGCCTTGTCAAATTTAAGAAAGTCCACCAACCAATTTATTCAGTAAAGATCTTCTCTATAGAAAGCATTTAAAATAGTATCTGAAACAAAATTAGCCTTTGTAAAAAGCACTGAGCAAAGTTCTGTTCCGTTTTATGCTGGTGTAAGTCTGCAACAGTCCCACTTCAATCAAGAGCATTTGCTCCCTATTTTAATTAACACGATTTAGGAGGTAAATGCAACCCCAACTTCTCCAAAGATAAATGGAATGACTGTCCCCCACTGGCTTTGACTCATTCTGGAAAGTGGTTCTTCCAATAATTTTCTCTTCTCACACCCCGATTTCTTCTCCAGTCTTGGTGGTCACCGATTACCAAAGAGCCTTCTCAGCAGACTGGAACTGCACCAAAGTCCTCTTGGTGGAGGGACATTTTGTAGCCACAGAGAGCTGGATGGTTCCAAATTCGGTCACTGCAAGTCATCTGGCAGGGTATCTGCTGCACAACGAAATCCCAGGTTTGAAGCTGAGCTGTCTGGAGTGTTCTGGCTGCGGGCTGCGCAGCGATACCTGTAGCAATAGGACTAGAAGATGAGAGAAAAAAGAGAAAATAAATTAACCTAGTACCTCAAGGAATACAAGTCATAACAAGAGCTGGTTAAGACCATGATCACCCTAGATCACTTCAGTTGTTTGTCGAGTTGTGATCTGTACTACTGAATAACAGTCAGATATCATACTGATGTCAGCAAGTTAGAACATCCTACTCAAGAAAAGACAAGCTCAAGGAAAAACTATTGTAGTCGTTTTCTGAACACTTTTCTACCCCTTTAATCTGTCCTTCTCTCTCCTGCTGCCTTCCCTCCAGTCGTTTGTTTTACTCAAGTTCTTACATTTGGTGAAGGCCTGCTCCAAATTTTGTAATAAGGTGTTTCTAGGCTACTACTGGCTGTGTTCATAAAAATGCTATCTTCCCCGCGTGCTGAAAATGAAAGAAGATCTGTAAGCTATTTGGACATTATTCATTGCCACAGAAACGCATCATGTTTTAGTAGATGCTGCCTACAGATTAGAGTTTAATGAAAGAGTGCTATCAACTTGTAAAAGATTACAAGCCAGAAGACCGGAATAGGAAAAGAGCATGTTTTTCTACTTAGAGCTTGGGGGTTGTGTTGGTTCCCCTCTCCACCCTCCCCCTTTTTTTATTAAAAACAGGTGGAGTGGGATAAGCACCAATTAAAAGCAGAAAAATGTGCTAGAAGAAAAAACTGAGGAAGACTGCACAAACAAGCAGCATAGTTTCTAGCTTACCAATAATTGTGGCCATGTGTAGACAAAACAAGGGGCATGGGTGCACGACACTTTAAAGCAGGCTACATGCTTTTGCGCTGCTTTAATGGTGTTGGCATTTGCACAGGTTGGCGGCGTATAATGCATCAATTGCAGCCACTCTAGCAAATTTGGCAGCATAATGTGCCTGAAGTGACTTGGGGTGCAGCAAACTAAAACTCTGAGGAGTTTTGGTTTAACTGCCCCTACAGCTGCGGAGCGAAGCACCGGGCTCTGTGCAGCTCAGGGGCTCTGCAGGCAGCCTGGCAGCAGCCCAACAAGACAGGCTCCACCCAAGAAAAGCAGTGAGCCTGATTTCCCCCCCAACCCCTCCCCAGAGCTTGCCTGCCTGAGCTGTGCTGGGGCCCGGTGCTTGCCTCTGCAGCTGCAGTGCCTCCCAGGACCGTCCAAGCTGGGTGCCTGCAGACAGGTGCTGTGGAGGGGTGGGGGGCGCTGTTGCTGTGGAGGAAAACACCAGCTCCCACCCCCACAGTCTAGGGACCGCTTCACCCACCAGCAGCTCGCCCTCCCCTCTGCACCACCGAAGAGGCAGGTAAGTGTGGCAGGTGTGTGCACAACACAGGGGTTTTAAAAGGGCCCTAAATTGAAGTGGTGTTTTTAGAAACCTGCTGCTTTGATTTAGGGTTCCCCATTTCATCTACACATGCCCTGTGGAACAAAAAAAAAAGAGGACTGTAAATGCTGGTTGCAACTTAAAACTGCATATAGAGTTGTCCATATCAGAAGGCAACCGTGCTGTATTTCTTATGCTTCTGTATTTAAGTTTTTTCCCCATGGCAGATCGCATATAGTTTGCAGAGCAATCTATATTCTCTCTAAAAAAAGGAAATGCTGCATCTCAAAACCAAATTTGTTGTGATGTGTTCTTTACACTTACGTTAAAAGGAGTCCTTTACCCTCACATTACCAGGCCTCTTATAGCGGGAAGCATTGGACTCCCATTTATTCAGGACAAGAAAAACAACCAAAAAAAGCATGGCCCATTTTCTAAGATTAGACCATCACATTTCCTCCTCTTAAGACTGAAGCTATTGCAGACTTTGTAAGTCCAAATGGGCTTCCAGTCTGTGGACTGGAATGAGAGGTCACTCAACATCAAAAGGACCGGCTAAGTGGGGGAAAAAAGGAAAGGGGAGAAACTGGTGAACCAAGTCCATTCATTAGAAAGTTTGCCAGAAGGGCCAAGTAGCTTTTACACACCACAGCAGTTTAGTATTTAGCCTTTTTCTTTTCTTTTGCACTCACTGCCAATTATGGGGCAAGGCGTCTTTAAATCCTAACACAGCCTTGGAAAGAAAAAGATACCAACATCTAGAAGAACCCAATTGAAAATGTCTTACATAAGAGGAGAAACTGAACTGAAGGCAAGACAAACACTGTTCTCTTCCTGTAGCTATCTTGTTAAAAGATAAGCAGGCTCCAATGTGGTCTGTGCTAGTAACTATAAAAGCAACCAAATCACTGGCAGGTGACTCAACTGCCTCACATGTTCCTGATGAGCAATTATCTTGCACTGACAGTTTCCTCTGGCTCACAGGCCTGATTGCAGAGTGGACTGCAATTACGCAGCAGTTGCCCCTTTGGGAAATTAAGGAAGAAGGAATGGTCATTTAAATTGTCCCTCAAACATGGGAAGCATCGGACCATTATCCACTCATTGCCTCTTGCTGCCTAACCACGGCCCAGTGCGGTGAGCGAGGTCCACCGGTGAGGAAGCCTCCAAACCTTCCATTGCTCATGTCCCGGACTAGCGCACACGGGCTTATCAAAGGAGAGACGGACTGCTGTACAAACAGTCCTGAATCACTGGTTTGTCTGAACTCCAACTCACAGTGATGTGTGAGCTTATCACTTATCACTGTTAGTCAGCCTAACATAAGAGGTCAAATTTGACTCATGTTCATCTCCCTTATCAAGGATAGTTGGCCTCTGGTTTAAACGGAATGGGTTGGGAAGCTGCTCATATTACTCAAGAAAAAAAACAACAAAATTCACGATTTAGCCATTCACTGCAGATACCTGATTTGCAAAAAAAAATTGACTGCTGCTGGTTCTCCAAAAAGGAAAGAAAAAAAGCTTGTAGCAATTAGGATAACAATTTGTTTGAATAACCGAGGGGATTTTATTACAGTAGCTTTCAGAATCTGAGCATAGCAGTACTGAATGAGATGAAATCTGCTTTACTTCAGTTTCACAAGAAAAATGTAGGTCCTTGAAAAAGATTTAGTTTTGCTTCTGCATCAAATCCACTTATTGGACTTTGCATCTTGTTCCTTTTCCAAGAATGAAATCACTAAAGGCATAATTAGAGCTGCACAGCTACAATGTTAACCTTGGGACTAGCAAAGAGTTATTTGTAAAATGTAGGTCAGTACAAGAATTAGTTTTTATCTACTTCCTACAAAGCAGACTGGCTCCTCCATTTTAGAAAGCGTCTCTGAAGTGACAGAATTGTTCCAAAGCCATCTGCAGAAAGCAGAGATAACTGGCTCTGCTTTTATAGGCACGTAAACAGTAGGATAGAGTTTCTCCACTTCTCCCTTTTATCACTCATACCGAGTGATAGCATTTTAGATTAATGAAGTGCACCTTAATATTGAGGAGCTGAGGACTCTGCATCTACAAACTGTACCATACTTAAGACATTTCATAGCTCCCCTTTGCTGTTCAAGATCTTACTGACAATTATACATATTGCACTTAAAGTGCAAGTAGTCTGGCGAAGTTTCAAAATGACACCAGCAACCTTCCTTTACTCTCAGACTTCCAGATTGGTGGTGATGTGGGCGTCTGAGAAAGCGCACTCAATGTAGCCCTACGACCTCAGCCTGGGAATCCAGGAATAAAAAAAAAAAAAAAAACTTTTGTATTCAGGCTCTATATTACTAATGCAAACGACAAGGTCCCACAACTGGAGTTTAATCTGATGTACGAGCTAGAACAAAACCTAAAACAGCCCCCACTTTCTAACAGGGGCAAGAAGATTAATCTTTCACTGTATTCTACTGGCCCATAGGCCACAGGTGCCAGTCATGAAATTAGCACCTTTGACAACTGATTTCCAGACATTATTTTTGTAGCTCCAAGTTGAAATCCAGTTTCTCTACCAACTGGTGAGTCACAAGAAGCACAGGAGAGGGGCCAGTCTGCTTTTTAAACAGCTTTCTACTCCTCTGTAGTCATTTCATTTGTAGAGTGCATTTCCCAGGCTTGTGGGCTGAAGTACCCGGTTGCACTGTGTAACCAAGCTTCAGTGCAGCTCCCCCCCTCCCATTGTGCAGAGACAGCGGATCCCCAACGTTTACTTTTGCCAACTTTACAGTGCCTCCATCTAAGGAGAAATTCAAGCAACGGTTCTTCGCTAGATCCCGGACACCAATACAACCTACGAAGCCCAAGAACGGTTTTTGCCCCAAGGGGAAAAAAAAAAAGATATGGTATGCCATAACTGCAATGGCCATGCCTGGTGCAG